GCAGTTTAGGCCCTCGATTGCCAGAGCTTCATTTGTCAAGAGAACTATAAATATGATTTTTTTAATACTGATTTTTTTAATGCTGGCTATCAGCTTTTTTGAAAAATTGGATGTTGGTGCTGGAAATCAAATAGAAGTTACCCAGTGACTAGTTTGGGCCCAGAGGCCATCAGTTAACAAAAATAGCAAGTCCGGGCTGGCTGGATCAGAGAATTGGCAACAGGATAGTGGTGCTGATGGTGTTTACATGTTGGAGCCACAAGGACCTGTGTGTTAGAGCTGGGAAGGGGCTTGGGGACTGACAGGACAGTCAATTCTGGTAGAGTGTAACTTACACCATCCTAAAAATCCCCATGCTGCTCATAGTCAGCAATAAAACCACAGGGCTAATGGGGAAAATAACCCTCAAAGACTTTGTCAGTGATGTGGTAGAAATCAAATATAAACCTAATGAAAAGTGTGCAGTTTTACGTATATAAAAGGGCTAAGACATTTTTACCTTCAAAAGGACCTGAAACTTACTTGTAGAAGAATTGCAATTTGGGAGTTACTGTGAAGTAGGGGAGTTTCTGAAATCAGAGGGAAAGTTGTGGCACCCAACAGATGGAACTCAAGTAGAGCCTGAAAGTAGTGTCACTTTCAGCCGGTGGCGGTTGGTGCTTTCACCTAGAAGTCATGCATAACCAAACACACGATTTACATTTGCTCAAATTATTTCCTTAACATATCCATTGAATTGGAACAATGTTTCCTTTTCAAACTATTACAGTAGCAGTGACTATGGATAGCCAGGCTGTGAATGCCTTAGAAATCACACTGAAAACAAGACATCCTTATTACTGTTTTCCCAATCTCTGTTTTGTTATTTTTGGCAAACGGGATATGATAATTTGTTCCAAGTAAATAAGTAAAGAAATAGATAAAAGTATTCCTCTCTGACCCAGGGAGGTAGATCCCTCTCAATTTGATGTTTTTTTGAATCTCATTAAACAAGAGTATGTCTGTTAGTGTTGATTAGCAAGACCCCTGTTTACCTAATGGTCACCCCTAGATTCCAGCAGAATATCGAGAGGTTCCTTTTCTCTGTCTATATTTTTAGTTTTTCATGAAGGAGGTATTTTTTAAATCATTTTATTGGAGGCTCGTAAAACTCATCACAATACATACATACATACATACATTGTGTCAAGCACATTTGTAAGTTTGTTGCCATCATCACTCTCAAAACTTTTTCTTTCTACCTGAGCCCTTGTTATCAGCTCCTCATTTTTCCCCTCTCCCCCCAACCCTCCCTCACGAACTCTTGATAATTTATAAATTACTATTATTTTTCAATGTCTTACACTGTCCGATGTCTCCCTTCACCCACTTTTCTGTTGTCCATCCCCCAGGGAGAGGGTTATAGGTAGATCATTGTGATTGGTTTCCCCTTTCTCCCCAACCTTCCTCTTCCCCTCCTGGTATCTCTACTCTCATTATTGGTCCTGAGGGGTTTATTTGTCCAGGATTCCCTGTGTTTCCAGCTCTGATATGTACCAATGTATGTCCATTGTTCTAGCCAGATTTGTAAGGTAGAATTGGAATCATGATAGTGGGGAGGGAGGAAGCATTAAAGAACTAGAGGAAAGTTGTATATTTCATCGGTACTATACTGCACCCTAACTGACTAGTCTCCTTGTGACCCTTCTGTAAGGGGATGTCCAGTTGCCTACAGATGGGCTTTGGGTCTCCACTCCATCCTCCCCCTCATTCACAGTGATATGAATTTTTGTTCTTTGATGCCTGATACCTGATCCTGTTGATACCTCGTGATCACACAGACTGGTGTGCTTCTGCCATGTGGACTCTGTTGCTTCTCAGCTAGATGGCTGCCTGTTTATCTTCAAGCCTTTAAAGACCTCAGACACTATCTTTTGATATCCAGGCACCATCAGCTTTCTTCACCATATTTGCTTATGTACCCGCTTTGTCTTCAGCGATCGTGTAGGGAAAGTGAGCATCACGGAATGCCAGTTTAATAAAACAAAGTGTTCTTGCCTTGAGGGAGTACTTGAGTAGAAGCCCAATGTCCATCTGCTACCCTAATACTAAACCTATAAATATATGCATATCTATATCCCCATCATCTATATAAATATATTTACATATGTACATGCCTGTATTTAGACCTCTATTAATGCCCTTTGCGTCCTAGTTTCTTCCTCTGTTTTCTTTCACTTTCCTCTTGTCCCACTATCATGCTCAGCCTTCATTTGGGTTTTAGTAATTCCTGGGTTACATTACCCTTGGTCACACCCTACCAGGGCTTCTACACCCTCCTTGCCATCGATTTTAGATCACTTGCTGTTCCCTTGTCCCTTGGGTTGTTAACATCCCCTTTCCTCCCCCCCCCTCCCCCTCTCCCATGTCCCACCCCAACCGTTGGTCCCGTTGTTTTCTCATCCAGATTGCTTATCCTGTCTGTCTTATCTATATAGACCTGCAGAGAGAATAATATGCACAAAAAACAGGACAGAGCAAAACAAACCAACAAAAGAAACCAAAACAACAACAAAAAACCAAGGAGAAAAAAGAAAACAAAACCTGTAAATAGTTCAAGGTCTGTTTGTTGACCTTTAGGAGTATTTTCTGGTCAGTCTGATGGGGTGCCACGCCCTGGCCCCAAAGTCTATTTTTTGGTATTCCCTCAGGGCTTCATTGCTGCTCTGTTGCACACCCTTAGTGTTTCACCTCAGTGTGGTGGGGTCCGATCAGGCGCAATTCCTGCACTGTGTCTCCAGTGTTGTCCCCCATAGCGTAATGGGTCAGTGAGGGACTTCGTGTCTCTTAGTGGGGCCGCCCCTATGGTTGCTCTGAGCAGGAATATCGTCCTCAGGGCTTGGTGGGCCAGCGTGTGTTCCACTCTCTCTTCCTCCCCCTTCGTATGCTCCCGTGTGCTCTGATCAGACATGTCCCTCTCCCTGAGCTGTAGCTTCAGTGCTGTCCTCTGAAGTGAATTCTTCT